ACTGATTCTTGTGATGAATAGAACATTTTGAGCCCCTTTGTGCACTCGTGCAGGAGGTTGGTGTGTCAGTTTTACATGTTGTAAATCATACAAATTGGTTGTGATTTTTAAAAAATAATTGTCATAAATAAAAATGTGAAAAACCATACTTTGACGATATTTGATTTTCAGTTTTAGATGGCAATGGTTGATTTGTTTTACTAAAAAAACTAAATGCCACATAAAAATGTACAAACACATACTTTGAAGACCATAATTAAGGTAATTAAGAAACAACAAGACGTAATATGAAAAATTGTTGTTTATTACACATCTGCAGATAGAGACAAGACTGATCATTCACTGTAGCTGCTACAGCATTTGCGGCAGATCAGAAAACGACCACAGCGGCGTATTTGTAATGATTAGACACAGCTTCCACCGTTGAATGAATATATCACTGTCCTTCGTGTCAAATATACATTTCGAATTAATAATTGTTCCTAGATTAACAAAACCTGCGGCGCTCGTTGACTGAAATCCTATTGTAAACATAATCCTCTGATCATTCGGACTTGTTGTTTCCAGCCATTTCGGCGCGTGACATACGTCACTCACGACACCCCGTTAGCGATTGGCTATGGCAGATTGTGAGTGACTTTGGGCAGATCCAATAGATTTGAACTTTAATAGTGAACCCGCCTACAAGGAAGAAAACGTTTCTCAATGGAGCGGTTCCAGACTCTGTGGAAATGAAATGAACTAGAGTCTGGTTGAACCAGGCTATGCTATACAAGCTACACACATACTTTATATAACAGACTTTTTTAATGACCAAGAAGTAAGTTCGGTGACACTTTAGAATACTGTTACATCATTGATGAATAACTACACAGGAACAAATGAGTAACGCACTATTAACATAGTAACTACTATTAACTAGAAACTCTGATTAACGAATTAGTAATTAAATGTGTTAATTATTTTATTATTAATAATTTGTTAATTATTAATTTAATAAGTGAACATTAATAATTGAATGTGGTAGTTCACTGTTAGCATAATCAATAACTACTGATAACTACTATATAAAGGTTCATAATTAACTTAATAATGCATAATATATAATTAATTGTAAAATACAGATCATGGTAACCCATAATTAATCAATTATTACCAAGTTCTTCAGAATGAATTACTAAATTTGGTTTAGTATTCTAAAGTGAAATCAAATTATAACTTTCGAGTAATGACTGAAATCATTGTACACTTTTGAGATTTTTGGTTTTGGATACCAATGACTCGAGTGTTACTAGTACATCCTTCAGAAAAAAAATTACTAATCATTTGGATCAGTATTCTAAGGTGAAGATAGTGGGAACCTATGTAATGACCCAAATGTTACCAAATCCATTGGAAGGAATTACTATCCAAACCCTACTAAAAAACCAAAATCTCAAAAACCCACAATGACTTTTTTGCTGAATCCTGCTGAAGGATTAGGTAATACTTGAGTCTTTACTAGTGGGTTACCGTGATCTTCACTTTAGAACTAAGTTTAAGCTCATCCAGCGAGCGTTTTGCGGTAAGGAAGAAGGATTTATTTGTTTGCAAACTAAGACTCTTTCTTGACCCAAAAAAATATAAAAGTGATCTTGTGCAGCAGAAGAAAAAGTGGTACAGTCAAAATCCTTGATCTGTAACTACATGAGAGGATAATATATGAACCATAAGATTCACGCTGACATGCAATACTCTTTCATTCATTTTCATTCATTCATTCATTCATTCATTCATTCATTTTTAATGCTTAATTTGACATCACAACCGACATAACAAATGAAATACTATGAGTATTATTATTATACATTGACGTCACTACCTGGAAATAACCGGATTTATGAATAAAGTCTTGAAAACGGTTTACTTGCGTTGTTGGGTTATAGGCTTGCATGTAACCCCCGGACAAGAGGCTATTTCTATGAGCAAAAATGTTTCAGATGAAGCCTTGGAGATGGTGTGAACATCTTCCATCAACTCGCTCTCTGATTGGGTATTGTTTTGTTTCACGAGATTATCTCCAGTGTGTATGCTTGTTAGTCCCCAGGGTTCTCCCCACACAACAGGATTTCTGATCGTAAATAGTCTACATGTTGAATATTTACGATTCGAGATTTGGGGCGGCTCTGACATTCTTCTGAGCAGATTCAGCCACTCTTAACACACCTCAGGCTCTCACCACAGGAAAATTTGAAAAAATAGTCTGTAGAACCATCAAGATTTATATTTATGCTTTTGTATTTCTTACATTGCATTTCAAGATACACATTTACATTCTTATCAGTTTATTCTTATTTACATTCTTATCAGAACCCATGACCTTAGCATTGCAAGAGCCAACTCTCTACTGTTTGAGCTAAGAGATAATCAGGAGTTTAATTCGGATTATCAGAAGGGGAGAAATTGGTCCAAAATTCCCCCGAATATCTTGTAGTATGTACCCAGAATTAGTTGTGGCTGGACTTTCAAGGCCCCACCCATTATGTCAAGAGAGGGGGAGCTGTACGTCAAGCTCCGCCCATTGGCTCTGCAGTGAGCGGCCTCTCTCTTAGGTAAGATGAGTTTTACAGCAGTCAAACTCTTATATAATTTGTTTAATGCAGTGTGATTGTCATAGAGGTTGTTAATATTGATAAGATTTCCTAGGTTTGAGTAGTGGCGTTTCAACTCATCACCATGTTCCAGACGACTTCCCACACAGTAATTTACTCAAAGTGCTCTGTCTTGTACTTACAGCAGGATATAATTTCTCTTCTTAGATGTTCTCAGTTGGGGTTATTCAGTCAGACCACAGTCTTTCATTGTTAATTTTCTTTTGTTAAATTGCTCGGTTTTTATAATAATGTTGTAGGAATTTTTTACATTTACAAGACTTTCCCTATTTTGGATTATTTTGTGACATGTTTGAATTTTATAGTTGTTATTCTCTGTTTAAGGTATATAATATGTCTGAAAGATTTATTCAATAGGGGATTATCACGCTTCCGGGTTTCATGGGCGGGATTTGTCAACTTTGTGCATGTCCACTTCCGATGCAGTTCAACAATGGCTGAGACGAAGGCTATATCACTGCTCTGTTCCACTTTGTAAATCTAACAAAGTTTTCATGGATTCCCGACTGAATTGAGTATAAGGAAGAACTGGATTAAAACTTTTAAATAATAAACAAGGTAGCACGTTTGTTTGCAGCTGGCACTTTAGTGAATCAGATTAATTTACCAGGGATGCCTTATAAATAAACTTAGTGTAGTCCGTCATCAGTTTGCCAGCGAGATCAACGGAATTCAACGGAAGTGGCAGTGCACAAAGATCACTGAATCCGGAAGTCCTACGTATCAGCGTGATAATCCCCTATTATGGATGTGAAGGTTAATGTTCTTTACTCCCTTCTAACAACTTGGCTGACTCAACAATACATCAACAAATTTTGGTCAATAATTTATAAGCTATAATGTTATTGTCTGACTGAGAAGTTCTGCAGAATTAAAATTTGAAGGAATCAAGTTTGGCACTACAGAGATGCTGTTGTTGTCCTCCAGGGCTGCAATTACTTGAGGAAGTTTCACTCATTATCTCTTGACCCCTGGAGATATGTTGAGAGGAGGTTGTGATTCCTTGCTCCATGAACTTAGTGAAGTCTTGGCTTTCTTCTCCCTGCTTTAATGATTTAGTTCTTACTTGCTGTGGAAGGCTTTGATCCTTGCTTTGATCCTTGCTGGCTCTGGATTAATCAGCAACCTTCTAAAACTCTTAGAGCCCCAAGCTATTGCAGAACAAGGCCCTATCAACCGTTTTTCTGAATGAAGACAGTTGACACTCTTATGAGGTAGTGTTTACATTGGCTCTATTTTAAATATTTAGGACATTTTAACACATTGTAATGCACTTTATGCCTTCAAAAGCAGCACATTGAAAGAAAAAATTTGGTGTGAAGCTGTTAGTCAGAGACAAAGCAGTAGATTTTGTAAAAAAAAAACTTAATACAATAAAATTATGTTGTTCAGTGTTTTTTAACTTCAAAACAGGAAAATGTATTTTAATCTATTTTCAAAATGATTTCTTAAATTACTTCTAGAGAGTCCACCATGCATTTAGTCCTGTACAGTAATGCACATGTAAGTCAATTTCTAAGTATCCTAAGCAAAGAATATGCACTTTTAAAGAACATTTTACAACAATAACATGCTTTAATAAAGTATGATCTCTCCATGAGTAGAAAATGTTACAGATCAGTATCTGAGATGTTCTGAAAGACCTACCTAAACAAATATGCTTTAATTTAGTATGTCCTTTACAGTGGAGAGATGTATTTTTAGTTCCCTTTCAGTCGATAATGTCGGATGTAGTCGATGGTCGACTGAATGGGGATTGCGTCAGAGAGCCTATGTTCTTCGAGTACTATTGAACAATTTGCATCACACAGTCCGCCCCCGCGCGCAGGTATAAATTCGGAAGTGGATGGAAGCACTAGTTGCCTTTCGCTTTGGAGCCAATTGTATTGATGTCTCTAGAGTGCTGTTGATTTCGACGAGCGAGTGTGTCTGTGTTCTTTTGGAAAGACTCTCCCAGTGCTGATGATTTCTACAGTGCAGTGCAGCGGTGGTCGCAAGCTGGTCGCAAGCAACTAGTTGAGGGCGAAAAAGTGAGTGCTTCTCTGAATTCAGTGTTGCCGCGGTCATTCCTGTGACAGGTCCCATTTCTGAAAGAGCAACACGGGTGCGTTTGCGTCTTTAAAAAAAAAAAAAAAAAAAAAAAAAGATGTTATTCCACCGGTGCTTTTCTGGATGCGGTCGTTACCTTTTCCTCTCTGATGGGCACAATTGTTGCATCACATGTTTTAGCTATATATATATATATATATATATATATATATATATATATATATATATATATATGTGTATATATATATATATATATATGTGGCCCGGTGTGAATATTAGTGACAACACTAGACACAGGGATTTAAATTATCTGTGGGATCGTTTATTCCAGACTGCACTTGAAACAGCGCAGCGTTAACTATGCAAATATGTGATACTAGACAGGAAAGCTTGTTACATTGGTTGGAATCAATAAAGATATTTTGTTATCAACTCTAGTCTCTCTTGTCTTTCTGTTCTCAGTCACCACATTAACAAATAAACTACTGGAATCTAATTAACATAGACAACGATAGTGGACTCGTATTCTGAAAAACACATACACAGATTGTTACAAGATTTGTCAACACAGAATACCAAATAAAGCTGCTTATCTTACATAAAAGATGCATGAAAAATGTAAAAATGAAGTTACATTTCCCAGTAACATTAATACATTCTAATCATTACAATGGCTAACATCCACTAAATATAAATCACTCTGAATTAACATTCTAATATTCCACAAAGAAATAATTAAATGACTCTTATTATAATAATCAAATTAAACTTACTGTTCATCAACACACTTTATAGCATGTACACACTGTCACATTGAATGCTGAACTCAATTCTCCTTCTGAAACAGCAATAAACACAGTATAACACTTATTTAACAATCAACAGATTGCCATAAACACACGTATAAGCAGCAAACACTTTTTTAGGATTAATTAATTAACAACACTCACTCTGTTGCTTCACACTCGGCCTGGAAACACTCAGGAGGCCTTAAGAATACTCCTCTCCCCTCTTTAATCAACCAAAATGATCACCAATCACTTAATGTTCAGATTACATCATACACAACAAAATATTCTCAATAATAAACTGACATTAGTTATGATTAATCACTCACGCTTCGAGATTTATTGTCGATCGGATTTCTCCACATAGGTATGCATCTCGAGTCGACAGAATTTCAAAGTTCCCTCAGCACAACACACAATCCTCACAACACACTAAGAGAGACTTCCAAGTTACTATATGTGCTTTTTTTGTTATTTTAACAGTAACATCGGCGTCTAATGGCCTCAGCACTCCACCGCATGAGCCGCACTTCAAATCACGTTGTGACCACGCGCTGTACACAGCAGAATCTCGCGATTCTTCCAGAATGTCACACATCGCGTTTCTTAAAGGGCTAGCGTACTATTCTATCAATTAATGAGAAAACCCTGGAACAGTCTGTGGTGTAACTTCCCTTATCCTAGAGCATTAGTTAACCAGTACAGTAATTGGTTTGATAACTTTTGACCTGGTTACATATATATATATATATATATATATATATATATATATATATATATATATATATAAGTATATGTAAATAAATGTAAAATTGAAAAAGCACTTATTTGGTGCAATTTCCATACACTAATATCTCTATCTACCTTTATTACATGGTTTATTTACTGATTTTATGTCAATGTACAATGTTATGTATTTTTGCGCTGCATCGTGCCTAAATAACGCGATACATCGTGAGACTGACCCACATTGTGTTTAACTGTAACTAGCTAAATGTCTGTGACCAATGCTAAATCTGATTAATGCAAACGTGTACAACAACTTTTTTTTAGAAACGGTGTTCTCAACTGTAAAGTGTGTCAACTCTGGAGGCACGACATGCATGCTATACTGTTCTTGTCATGTTAGCACGCCCTCCGTCTCAAACTCTGAACACCATTGGATCCACGACTCTTCAGTCTCAGGCTGCCTAGGTGATTCCTGGTAGTGCATTCAGAGCGTCGCTCGTGGCCTTTGCCCAATCAGCTGCGAGCTGTATGATGACACCTTGGGATTCCGCGAAGTAGTTTCTTTCAGATATAGGAACAGAACAGTAAACAGCGATACAGAGTTGACGCACTTGTGAGGGAAGAAGAGAATAGCCTAGCCTACGCAAAGTTTCCACGCTTTCTATATACTTGAAATAATATTGAGATAGACAACTGCTTCGTGAGCGTGTAGACGCAAGAAGCGACACACGCTATTTTCCTTTATCCTTCGCCGGGAACATTTCATCCCAGTCACATTGGGAAAAACACGTGTAGGCGTGAAACCACGTTTACCGGAGTCGTCTGGACCCCGATGTCCATGTGATGAGCATCCACACTGCGCCCTGAGTTTTGTTTTGAAGTATTTGAGGCACTGGTGACTTCTACAGTTACAGCACACTTTGTGTAACTACAATGACGGACGTTGAAATTGCTGCAAGGTCCTTGGATCCGATCTCAAACGGATCGAGCTCTGACCGCACAGACAAACTAGCCGGCGAGGAGGGACCCGGGGAAAGTCAAGAGAGTCGGACTCTGCTAATGGTCGCAATGATTCTGCTGGACCTAAATCAGTGCAACCCGAGCGGAATCAGCACCAAGCGTATGGTGGACTGTGATGCGGAGAATCAAACCGGCGTAAAGGAAAACCGGGAGAAATGCAGGGTGAAAAGGACATGGAACTGTGACAGACTGCATGTATCAGCTGAGAAGAGACACTGTTGTCCCTATGCTGGCTGTGGTAAAATATACGGCAAATCGTCCCATCTCAAGGCGCACTTCAGAGTACACACCGGTATGAAATGAGCACGGTTGAATGAATTTTGTGCTTATATGTACTCAATTACTTGACTAATGCCAGTAATTCAATACCGACTGTTCGTTTTGCTGGAACGCCGATATACGCCCCACACTCGCGTGTTCTCAGGAACTGTTCGGTTTCAGGAACTGCCAGTAACAGTGGGTGTAACCGCAGGGGGAGCGCTCAGGGTGTACACCAGGGTGGAACACAATGTTTCTAACCAAAATGAGAGCAAACATGTTGCTTAGTCCTCATTGTTACGCAGGTCACAGTGATCTTAAAATTGCGCAATCGTGTGACGGGAAATTGCTAGAGGTAGCCGAACATTTTATCATTTCAGACTTGCTAATTTGCAATCTAATGATTTTGTTATGGTGAATATGTTCGGTTCTATTGAATTATATTCTAGTAGGCTAGTCGTGGTTATTGGTCGATCCTTGATGGTCCACACATACATCAATGCGACACTCACTAACCCCAAATAGACCTTGTGTTGCCCCGCCCCTTTTCAGCGGTGCACTCGTTGCCTTGTCTTCCTGTTTTTATTTCCTTAACATGCAAGTAAGATCGTACGGATAAATTAATGAACCGCTAGTTTTAAAATCTTCCCGGTCTCCTGACATTTGTTACGACATCCGCTCCAAATATTACAAATGCTCACGATCATTTTCGTTAACTCTTCAATAGGCTAAGTAAATGCACTTCACAAACGAATTACTCTTCGACATAGCGATGTCATAGAACAGGACTACCGCAATAACGGAAGTTCAAACACAGTTCTAAAGATGGCTGCACGATTGTTTCTCTGGCGCATAAGGTCCATAGGAATGTATAGGTTACAAGTTCGACCGCTCCAGACACGTCGGCGCACCCGCCATCTTGGAACGGTCAGCATGTCGTCACTCACAGTAAGAATCAATGATGCCACAACATTGCGCAGCTTCTGGTTGTGAAGCCGCAGATGTTTAAATTCCTGAAGAAATCGGACAATCTTTCACAGGTGAGGATGTGTTGGTTTTGTTTAAACTAACTCAATATTTTTACTTATATTTTTACTATTGTACTTTTAATGGATTTACTTTTACTATGGTAACCTTTTTAATGTCGTCTTAGCTGACGTCTTCGTCTTGTTGTATTGTGTTAGTTTAGCAAAATCATCTGCTGAAGTCAATAGCAGATATATTCTAACTACGGTTGCAGATGCCCAGTCAACTTGCTCTCAAATGTCCAGACAGCAAATGAGGCATCTATGGGCTTATCCTATAACTCAAAGCAACGATGACGTCATGTACACACCTCCTGATTTCACAGTTGTAAACAACTGGCACGTGGTGCCACAATGTAGCCAAGTGCAGCCCCTCCCAGTCCCAATAAGTGCGTTTACATCCAGCGCAAAACGTCCATAACTAAATAAAAAAATCAGCGAATTCTTAAAGCTCATCAACGAAAGTAACGGATGTATAAATCGTTACCAAGTCACTGATGAATCCGTGTCGATTAGGTTTTGTTATAGCCTTACTATATTAAGTTGCATTATCAGTAGGCCCTTACATTTCTCCTGTGTGTGTGTGTCCTTAGGTGAGAGGCCCTTTCAGTGTACCTGGTCAGGCTGCACAAAGAAATTCTCCCGGTCAGATGAACTGACACGACACTTTCGTACCCACACAGGGGAGAAGCGCTTCATGTGCCCGCTCTGCGACAAATGCTTCATGCGAAGCGATCACCTCACCAAGCACGCCCGCAGACACGCCGGCTTTCACCCCAATATGCTCCAGGGTCCCGCCGGACGAAGACGACACTCTTCAACATCCACATCGTCCACTGGCTCCAATGATCACATGTCTGCTGGTGTTTGAGCAACTACGTGACCCCCACATTTTGGATGTCTCTCTTACCTGAATCTCTGACACCCAGTTCAGGTCTTAGAGTCTTTATTTATGATTAATGACATCTATGAACTATCTATCTGATATGAAATCCAGCTGTTATATACTAATGATAGGCTATCTATTAACTGATGATTAAAGATATCATCAGGTGGAGTCATACAAAACATCATAATCGAGTCTTACAAAATAAGCTTGCAGGAGTACTCCAAGACAAAGACTGAAAATGGGACTTCTCAATGGAATGGAGAGAAACTATGCATTTTTGGCAGAAATAATGTAATAAAGTCCCAAGGGTTATTTTTAAAATAAGTAAGGATATTTACAGTATAATTTAATCTGTATAAATGACAGGTATTAACATTATATCACAAAGATGGGATTGATGTCAACAGAGAGGAGCCAGGTGATTTATTACATACCCACTGTGACAAAGGGAAAAGAACAGTGTCTGTGTAAAAATATATTATGTGAAACAGACACATTTCAATTATCAGGGTGAAGTGTCAACATTTAAAGTGGTCCAGTATAGGAAGTGAATATGTTTTAATTTAAAATAATCGCTGTGAATGCTTTTTGTTTGACTTTAGTGTTGACTTTAGTGTTGAAGACAGGTTTTGAATTATGTTAAAACGTCTGGGTACCTATGAAAATAACTTAACATGATAAATTGTCATGTTGTCAACACAATCACACTTTTGTTTTAAGCAATTATAAGTAATTATTTGCATATTCTAATCAGTTATGCAAAATAATGTAACATTTAAGCTAGAGCATTAAAAATACCCTTTATTCAGGACACTTTTATTTTTTATTTTTTTTAAAGCTTTACATTGTTTTTACATTGATCAGCTTTCATAAGCTGTTATGTTGGCCTGCCAACAGTTTTACTCATTAATAGTTTACCATCGCCATCTACAGTCGTGTTATGTTATAACACGAGGCAAGATCTGTGCCTTTAATCTCCAAATATTGCACAGCTGAACCATCCACAACTGAGATTGTAATTTTTTTCTCACTACCTTTAGTTTTATTATTAGCCTAAAGTATTTACTTTCAGTCAATGAACCTGTGTAACATATTCTTTTCTTAGTTTTATTTATGGGGGTTTCAGATTCATATTCAGCTGTTGAAATACTTGAAATAATTAATAATGTTATTTGAATGTAGATTTAGTTTGAATCTGTTGTGATGATCAGACATTTAAAAGACAAGCACAAACAGAATTTTGAATGTGAATAATTGTCAATGCATCTGTTCATCTTGTATCGATTGTTATATTTTATGTTATGATAACTGATCAACAAATATTACGCTTTTTTATCATCACAGAATGTCTGTGCTAATTTATTTTCCAGATGTTCCATATGTTTAATAGGTTGTGAGCAGGTCATTTGAAACACAATCATTGTAAAAATACTCAACCTGTGCCTTCTGTTTTGAGGTTTAGTACTCTTATCTTAGATTGCAGAATTTAATTAGCAAATTATAGAGAAATACTTTGCTGTTGTTTACAAAAGTCTTCTCAGTTCCGTAGTGTGAATCCTAATGTTGTGATGTGTTTATCTGCATATTACAGACTTCATTGTGCATATATATTCTGTATTTTTACATCACTATCATTTGTATATAAATATTCTGTATTTTTACATCATCATATCATTTTTGCAACATTCAACGTTCGTTACCTGTAAATTATGCGCAAAGAGGGTAACTAATTAAAACAAAGAGAAGTCTAATTCAGGTCTGCTTTTATTGATATCACTGAAACCAATAACAACATTGTTAGTACATAAATGGACTTTCTCACATAATTAACATATTTAATTATAACATAAAAACACAGCTTTTGTCCAACAAATGCTCACCTTTGATTATGCTTGAATTGAATACATCAGGTCATTACACTGTTTTAAAATTCACAAAAAAGTGAATATGAGCAGTTCAAATGAAAGCAATTTGCATTTTGAGATACAACTTGATCGATACAATATGTAGAGTGTAAAGACAACGCAAAATGCGTCAAAGCTGAATTGAAAGGTAAAATCTGTAAAATATCGAATGTGTAGATTAACAGTGCAGGTTAATCATTGACAGCTTGAATCATTTTTAATAATAATAATAATGGATGTTAAGATAGACCAGGGAAGTTTATCATTTTAGCAACAGTAACATTCATAGTTTATTTCCAAAGACCAGCAGAAAAGAGTACTTTTAAACAGCCCACAATGTCTGAAAAAGTAACCATTTCCATGAAGTGCAGTGATCGTATGAAATATGTTATATCTGAGCATCTACCTGAACAAAACAATACTTCCCGTAAGAAAGCTTACAGGTGCTTTAACTATCTAACATGTTTGGACATTCTGTCTAAACAGAACAGAAAATCTCAGATTAAATCATACCCAGTGATTTCTGACCTTTAAAGGGGTGATGAACTGAGAAATCAAATTTTCCTTGAGCTTTTTACATCTAAGAGGTCATCATATTATAAGAATATCAGGATTCAGAACTGAAAACGTCCTTGTTAGTCCAATAAAAGCTTTTATTGACACCAGCCCCAGCAAACGATGATCGACGCCTACTTTAACGCGGCCGGTTTAGCCCCGCCCACCGAATCGAGCATTCACGCATAGCCAAATAACATAGATTCCTACCTCGTGGTGACAAACCGGATCGAGCTACCGAGCAATACAGAATATTGTGCAGTGCCTGGTTGTGGGAGAAGACAGTCGCTGCATATGCTTCCTCTGGATTCCAATAGGACTGCATGGATAAACTTTATTTTTAATGACGTTCCAGCTGATGAAGTAAAACATTGTCCGTTTGTTCGCTTCATTTCACTGAGGATTGTTTTGTAAACAAGACTGGATTTGCAGACCGATTAAGAGTAAAGAATGGTGCTGTGCCGTCTATATTGGATCTGACAGGAATTGTGCAACACACGGACTCTGGGTCGAACATGTATGGGCAAATCATTCCGGTTGCCATTTTACAACATTGGACGTTTTCAAAGAAATTTCCCCCAAGTGCACCGACGACGGGTGAGTTGTAACTCATTATAATATGTAAAACTGTTATCCATTCACAGCAGTGGGTGTTTACTTCCAAGTCTTCAGTCGCCCATAAAAACCTAGCGTTTTTCAGCTAGGCTCAAAACTAGGGTAGAAAATAGACTAATACTTATTCATTTTGATGTTTGTGAATGCAAAAACCAAGCAAACATCATAAGTTGACCTCAGACAACAATATTTAACATTTAAAAAGCCAGTTCATGACCCCTTTAAAAAAAACTGCATCGAGAGACACAAAAGGGCTTCATGTAATCTTTTTTAGAGGTACTGTGAAAATAACAACAGTCCAGGCCTTGACATATCAGATCAAATTCTCAAAGAAGAATATTGCCTTTCTTTTTATGACACATTCACATCTCAAATCCAGTGTAGTTTCAAACATGATTCAATTAAATACATGTATGTGACACCAAGAGTAAACAAAACAAAGTGTGATGGCCTGGTGCATGCCAGACAAGGCTACTGTTAGCGCTGCAGTACAAATGCACCAACATGCAAAAATGTTCAACAAAAAACAAACCCAAGTATAGCCTCAAATAGCAGCCACGAACAATAAACATCCAACCAGATCCGTACGGAAATCAAATCTTACCCTAAGGACAACGTTAATGCAATGAGAGCGACATGAAAGCAGATAATTCTGTGAATAAGCTATTTCAAACTCTCTGTAACATCAAGTAGCTGTTTTTAAACCACAATTAAAGCCGTTTTAAAGCTTTATTTGTTCTACTTTCACTTTTACAGTATAACGCAATGCAGACTAGGAGGTGAAAGTGAGCAGACTCTCCTAGCGTATTAGCAAAACAGTGCATATCCTGCCATAGGAGGAAGCAACCAATAATAGTCATGTTAATAATCATATGTTACAGTAAATGTGTGTATGTGTGTGTGTTAGCACATGTAATGCGTTTTTGTGTGTGTATGTGTGTGTGTGTTCACATTTTCCTGTACACTATGTTTATCGTAACGTTTACTGTACTGTACATTTCCCACTGTAATATTGATTAGATGTCTTATCTGAGGTTATGAATGGGAATAAGGGGTGGAAACGAGAGAGAGGGAGCACGAGGAGGAGAAAAGGTGATGGGTTTACTGGATTTGACAAGCAGTGGAGGAGGTGGCTTGGCAGCACATGCAGGTGGAGTTGACGGATTTGGGCGGTATGAGGTCCAGGTCTTCATCATCAGGGATCTCATCCAGCCTGTATCCATCTTTCAGTAGTTGGATGTTCAGATCCTGGTTTATCTGCTGCAGGAAGCAACGAACAGCATGTCAGGCCGTGCTGCATAACCGTCACTAATTAAATCATAGTAATTCATTTCATTTTCCTCAAAGCAGCTATGTAATAGATTTATAGGACAACAGGGTTGGTTCAATAGCTTGATTGGTACATTTATTGGTTTAATGAATCAATGACATGTATAACAACATGAATCTGACAATGGTGACCTTTAAAGGAAAACAAGGAGAGATGAAAGGGAATTTAGTGCATAAAAGATTGTGAGCGACTTGACAAAGAAATCCACGGTCATGATGCTTGTGGTATGGGGCTTAATACATTAACCAGAGTTCATAGGTACCTGTTCCCATAGAGACCTCACCTCGGCTGATGAGTATCCTGATGAGGAATATCTAGACATGTCAAAGTCGTCATCGCTGCAAAGGCAAGTGAAAACAGTGAGTTTGAAGCCCGTAGCAAATGGGGACGTAATTAAATAAAGAAGTGGAGGATGTGTGAAGAGCTTACCTGTCTGTGTCTAGAGCAACTAAAGGTTTCTCATCTGGGCTCTGGTCTAAAGAAGAGTAGCCTTTATTGGGAACCACTAACCTGGTTTGAGAAAGAAATACAGAGTTAGCAGTCTGTTTTTGGATTAACTGGAAAACGCTGATTATTTTCTCTAGTTTGTACCTTGTTCTGGCCATCACATTATTTTTCTTGGGTTGTTGATTGACAGGGCTTCCTGCATTACCATTTTTCAGCGAACCTTTCCTAACCATCTCTCTCTGTTTGTCTATACAGAGAAAAATCATGTCATATTATAATACATAATTGCACAAAAAAAAAATGCATTGGCATTTGGCAGTATGGACAAACCTATCTTCATATGGAGAGGAGAGGGTTTATAGTTCAGGGTTGCAGGTTCATTCTCCCTGGTATCAGAGTCTGCCTCTGATGTGGTCGATGATGCTGGATCCTGGTGAACAAGACAGAAGTGTCAGGACTGTCTAGTTTTATCGATTAAGTCAATTTGATGAGATGTCTGTTCTTCTGAGCTTTGCTCTGTCCATTTCCATCAATGTGAACGAGTAAAGCATCACTGTATGTCTGCTGTATGATTTATGTCAGCTCATTCTAAAACAGTAAAACACACCCTGGGATTGATGTGAAAGGAAACACAACATTTGCAGAAGCAAAACTTAGATTTTGTCAAATTCAAATAAGGAACGGATAAAAAATTATGACCGATTTTAATATTACAAAAGCCGAAAACTGGAAAAACATAGGCACAGTACAAGACTGAATGTTGATCACAAAAACTTTACATATTGTATGCACATAATAATATATAATATACACCAGACCACTGGGTCATGACCAAAAAATGGGTCGCAGAAGGGTTGCACACCAAGACTACCTTAAATATTGGTTTATTGCACCGAGAATAAACATGGTTTGTGCCAATCACAATATATTTTGTGTGTTGAGTAGCCTATAGGGAGCAGAAATTTTGAAAAAAACATTTTGTCAATTCTTCAATTAATTCGGTCACATTAATACTTTTGCATATTATTAGATCTATGCAGTTCATGTGAATAATTTCCACTGTTATTTACATCTGTAACATTATATAAATAGTTTGAGTTTTGTGTTGGGTCTCCACTTAATGACCGCTGTAAAATCTGGGTTCTGAAGCAAAACCAAATGAGAACCATTGATCTAGAACTAACCAAAGCAACACGAGCATCTGCTGTATGGGCCATTGGTTAAATATGGGCCACCCAGATGTCTCTTCGAGCAGAGCTGGTTATTTTCCTGAGAATTATTGATGAATTTGGGATGGGTGGGAGGGGTATGACATTATTCAGGTACCATAGCACGTATTCTGCATGATGAAGCAAAAGGATGTGAAGGCCTCTATGAGATTAAAGAAAGATCACGCAGTATTTAACATTTTTTCAAATAAATGTTACAGACAGCGTTACGATGGAAGTAGGAAGAGATAGAAGGACAACTCGAGCTGAAGTTATGAAATAAAATGAAGCTGGTGTTGTTTTCGATGCAGGGAGACACAAACAGTCTCAGTGCGCAGCATCATCATATAGCATCCATACATTTGCAAGCAAAAATTCACATCAGACACAGAAGAAACCATCATCGATCTCTCGTAATATAAGATATTTACCATTTTTGAAGAAATAACGGTCTATGATGACACAACATGAGACTAATGAAATATTCCACGGGTCGTTAGTTCATATTAAGCTACAATTCGCTCATCAAAATGTTATTAAAACCGCATACTGACAACATTTGTGCTTTAATCGGATGGTTTAACTTACAAAAGGCTGCATCTCCGCCTCAGTCGGCACTTGAAATCTGTCAATTTCTTCCATCATCTTGGCGGCGGGGTGTCTGAGCTTTTTTTTTTTGTGTGAGCGTTTAGTGGATTTCTGCGGATATACCGCAAACTAATTGGTTAAAATTTTAATTTCACTATTGTGTCGTCGGATATTTGTCAGCCCCAAGAATATCCCCGACTCTCCTTCATCCCAGCGATCGCTCGTTAGCCAGCAGTGACCGAGTGGCGATTTAACCACCCACTTCCGGGAGAAACGAGTCTCGAGACGCGAACAGCACCACGGATTCCGCCCCACTCAACGCCATCGAGCGATGTCTGCTCCACCCAAGACTAGCATCAGACAGACATTGTGCTGGCAGGGTTGTCTGTGGGTGTTTGAATAACCTCGGGATGACAAGATTTTGTGAGTGGGACGAACCATTTTTGTGAATGTCGAATCTGTAATTAGGGATTTCGAATGGGGATTAGAATAAAATGAATGCAATAAAATAAAATAAAATAAAATCCCTTATAAACGGGATCAGTGTCCCCATTTGTGTTTTACATTGTTGAAAATAGATGGGCTGCTAAC